TCACCCGAACAGGTTATTTAACCATACAAATGATTTATAAACGGTTTTATTAAGTTGAAATAGTTCCCCTTCAAGACAAAACCAACTGCGTTTAGTTAAAAACTCGCCAAGATGGGCATTTATGACATATTTTTGTGAGTATTAGTCCGTTTAAGCGCACACTGAAGCCGGACCTCGGATCACACGCGCTGAAACAGCGGCTCGATACTCTTTTAACTCTATTTTTAATATCGTCCGGCGGGAGATTGTATATCACCACATGTTACGTGATTTGACTGATTTGTTATGCTAAGAAGGGCGACAGCGCAGGTTTTCATGATCGTTGAAAGCCAAAATCAAAAGCGAAAGTAAAATGCTAGTCAATAAATCATGTTTGAGAGCGAGGGGTTCAAAACCACACTTGACAGGCAAATTCTCTTGTCCCAATCAAGTTTTCGCAACTTCACTTTGAAATAAAGGTTACAGATATGACGGCTAAGACAGTGACGGGGAGACGGGAGGACAGAACCTGCAAGTCCTCACTGCAACATAAAACAGTCCTGGAATTATGAGTTGCATGGTTCATTTTGTGCTAAATCATGCTAGCTACATGTTAAAACATACTAGCAGCATGTTATGTTAGCACCATGCTAAGTCATGCTAGCATCGTGTTAAATAATGTAAGCTAAATGTTAGCAATGTGCTAAATCATGCTAGCTACATGTTCAAAAAATGCTAGCACCATGCTAATTCATGCTAGAATCATGCTAGCAACATGTTAAAAAATGTTAGCAAAATGTTGAAACATGTTAGCAATGTGCCAAATCATGCTGGCTATATGCTAAAACATGCTAGCACGGGTTCTTTAACTCTAGCGTGACGCTTGGTGCTCTTTTTTTATATTGCCCTTTTTCCTATCACTTATTTTATTAATAATCATAAATTAGGTATCATTCAAAAGCTAAAACTCTCAGTATTCATTTTGAGAAAACCATTTTAAAATTTTATATTGCGGAACGGTACTTTTAATTCCTTATAGTGGCTCCTCGAGTGGGCGGTGTCTATTTTATAATCAAAACCTTTTCTAATCTTGACAAAATGCATATGGATGGAAAGGTCTGAGACTCTGGCTTCCATATTTGGTAATTGTTTTTCTGAAAGAAGTGATATTGAGACAGAAATGTTTACATTTGTGACAGGAGAACCCATAGTAGAATCAGTGGAATGTGTGTGACACCCGGTGGACATTTTTGGTAAAGCGCCAAAACAAAATCTCATAGGAACTTACATTTTTGTGATATCAACTTTCAAATATCAAATTTCCAACAAAACTTAAATAGACATATGGCTTTAAATAGACATTTCATGGCATTTTCAGAGTAAAAAAAAATATTTTGTAAAATATTATGTAAAAAGTATGTGTGTGTGTGTGTGTGTGTGTGTGTGTGTGTGTGTGTCACTATTCTTTAGGTGCAAATGTGGAACTTGTTTGATAAACAGGAACATCGTGTGAAGCTTCTCTGAGACGTGTGAAACACATTTACACACATTCATACACACACAAACACACATCCGCACACACACACTCATATGCACACAAACACATTCATACACACACACACACATACACACACAAACACACACATACACACACAAACACACACACACATACACACATACATTCATACACACACAAACACACACACACACAAACACACATTCATACACACACACACATACACACACAAACACACACAGTCACACGCACACACACACACTCTCACACGCACACACTCACATACACACACACAATCTCGCACACACTCTCATACACAAGCAAGTGAGTGTGTGTGTATGTGTGTGAGAGTGTGTGTGTGTGTGAGAGAGAGAGAGTGTGTGTGTTTGTGTGTGTGTGTATGCGAGTACGCGTGTGAGGGAGTGTGTGTGTGTGTGTGTGTGTGTGTGCGCGCGTAAGAGAGTGTGTGTGAGTCAGTGTGTGTGTGTGTGTGTGTGTGTGTGTGCGTGCGAGTGTGTGTGTGTGTGTGTGTGTGACAGAAATGTATAATCCTGTAAATATGTGTCTCCAGGCTTTATCAGGTTCATAAGCTCGTTCTCAATCCCAGTCCAGTTGTGCTGATGATAAATATAGACACACACACACACACACACACACACACACACACACACACACTGTATAGGAGCTCAATAACACAGCCAGATATTCCTCACACTGATTTACACACTTACATCTATAAATATCTCTGACACACACGGATGCTTTTGTTACTCGTGTGTGTTAGTGGAGTACATCTATAAATGTACCTGATATTACAGGAATACTGACTAAAAACTGTCTGTGTGTGTCTGTGTATGAATGTGTGTTTGTGTGTATGTGTGTTTGTGTGCGTATGAATGTGTGTTTGTGTGCATATGAGTGTGTGTGTTTGTGTGTGTGTGTGTGTTTGTGTGTGTATGAATGTATGTGTGTGTGTGTGTATGAATGTGTGTGTCTGTGTATGAATGTGTGTGTGTGTGTGTGTGCGTGGGTATGAATGTGTGTGTGTGGGTATGTGTGTTTGTGTGCGTGGTATGAATGTGTGTTTGTGTGTATGTGTGTTTGTGTGCGTATGAATGTGTGTTTGTGTGCATATGAGTGTGTGTGCGTATGTGTGTGTGTGTGTCTGTGTGTGTGTGTGTGTGTGTGTGTGTGTGTGTGTGTGTGTGTGTGTGTGTGTGTGTGTGTGTGTGTGTGTGAATGTATGTGTGTGTGTGTGTGTGTGTGTGTGTGTGAGTAAGTGAGTGTGCGTGTGAGTGAGTGTGTGTGAGAGTGTGTGTGTGTGTGTGGAAGAGAGTGTGTGTGTGAGAGAGAGTGTGTGTGTGTGTGTGTGTGTGTGAGAGAGAGAGAGAGTGTGTGTCTGTGTGTGAGAGTGTTTGTGTGTGTGTTTGCCTCCAAACATTGTCTTCCTCTCAAACACAAACCTTTACTTATAAAACACACTCAAATGTGTCGCACATTAAATAAAACAAAAATCATGAATATCTGAACTGTTTTCCAGACATTAATGAACATCTTCTGATCCTCAGACTCTGCTCAGGTCAACCAAAGGTCAATCTCAATATAAGTACATTTCAGAAAGAACATTTGAGACAAAGTTTATACTTGATGAAACATTATTGAGAACTGCATTAATTATTCTAATGAATAACAGTTTCATATTCACAGTTTCCCCGAGTACTTTGAATCTGTTCCTCACATTATTGCTAGCATTAGCCAATAATTATATATTTTTAGTAGCCTACGCATTCACAGATTATGATCATATTTTAGTCACGTGTGCAAAAGAGCCTCGAACAGTTCAACACGCAAGAACGAGCGAGTGAAGCGGGAACGCGCAACATCTAGAAACGCGTTCTTCAAAAGTTGAACTTATTTTAACAAGCGTTCAGAGCGTGACGTCACGCACGCGACGCCGCAATGACGCGACGCTCAAACGCGTTCACACAGAACAACAATAGAGAAGTAGCGAGGAGAAGTGTGTGTGTGTGTGTGTGTGTGTGTGTGTATGAACCGGGAAGTTTTAACTCGAGCACGAACATCATTTACACACAATACAGCAGAATAGAGTTCAGATCAGCAGAGTTTGACTCCAGGAGGAATTCATTTAAACAGAGGAACAAACACAATATGCTTTCCTTTTATTTTTCAAAAATACAAAAAAACAAAGAAAAAATAAAATAAACAAAAAATGATTCTGTAAGGGTTTTACTGTACAGTTCATTTTACACTGACAATATTTACAGTAGAGGCACCAGAGTTATTATCATATTAGTGTTTTTGTCCTGCTTTACCGAAAGAGAAATATTGCACATTTTGAAACTCAAATTATGCTTTAATGCTGCCGTTTTAATAGGTTTGACTACTCAAAAAAAAAAAAAAAAGTGAAACCATTTAAGGGCCTCTGAAACTTCATCTCTAGGGGAATTACACCAGTGGATCCCTGAGCTGAGCGAGTGAGTGGAGGCGGGGCTCATTTGCATATTCATAGAACCGCCGCGAATACTAAATGAGGCAAGAGTGTCGAGTTACGTTCAAGATATTTTAATGAAAAAAAACACATTTAAATATGTAATTTTATTGATCAAAGATGAGTTTTAAGGGATAAAACGATCGACTGCAGGGGAACTTTAATATTATAAACAATCCTGGCAAATGAGAAAAACTATATTAAACTGAAATGAAACTCAAATTATGCTTTAATGCCGTTTTAATGGGTTCGGCTATAAAAGTGTTCAGTTCTCTACCTTAAAAATTTTTTAGGAAACCTGTTGCCTTAAAATTATTAAGTAAATATACTTAATTCTTATTTGAAAAGTTATTTAATTAAGTGAACTTGACAATTCCACATTAGTTCATATTTTCGATTAGAGAGACTGTCTAGAGAGCGTCCCACCAGAATAGTTTATTATTATTAGTGTTTTTTTGTCCTGCTTTACAGAAAGAGAAAGATTGCACATTCTGAAACTCAAATTATGCTTTAATTCTGCCGTTTTAATGGGTTTTAATTAAAAAAAAATTGTAAACAATTGAAATTTCATCTCTATGGGGAATTACAACCAGTGGATCTCTGAGCTGAGTGAGTGAGTGGAGGCGGGGCTCATTTGCATATTCATAAAACCGTGAATACTAAATGAGGTGTCGAGTTACATTCAGGCTATTTCAATGAAGAAGAAAAAAACGTTTAAATATGTCATTTTGGTGATCAAAGATGAGTTTTAAGGGGAAAAATGATCAACTACAGGGACTTTAATATTATAAACACCAGCTGGAAATGAACCAAACTGAAATGAACCTCAAATTATGGTTTAATGCTGATATTAATGGGTTCAGATACTCAAAATAAGTGTGAAAACTACCGAAGGGCCTCTGAATCTCATACGCGGAATTACAATTTCATTGATCGAAAGCTAGAAATAATTCATCAAGTTGGATTGAGTTTTTCTCTAAGCCAGCCCAGAGCGGCTCAGGAGTGAGTGTAATAATACACAGCGTTGCTGGCGTCAGACAGAGCGGTGGAGATCAGATCGGGCCCTTGGGGGACATGAGGGACCCCGTAGAGCACACACTCGTCCATCATCGGCCCCGGATCCGGCATGCTGTGTCTGAGAGAGGACTCCTCATACGGACGCTTGCAGAACACGTCTGAAGAGTTATACACACTGAGGCTCTCATCATACGGCTGTGTGTCGCTCATCAGACCGAGCTGCGGATCGGGGTGTGTGTAGGCGGTGTGTGTGTCGGTGTGCTCCTGGAAGTGTGTGTATCTGCATGCCGACTGGTGTGCGCTGAATCCCACCGGAGTGGAGCCGAAGCTCTCGAACGCTTGGCTCTCGAAGTACGCAGGGAAACCCGGCTCGTCCGGAGCGGACCGCAGGAGCGCCGAGTCCAGGCGCTTGGCTCGCGGCGCCGGTTTGCGGCGCCGGGGACGGTACTTGTAGTTGGGATGATCCTGCATGTGTTTCGCTCGCAGGCGTTCGGCCTCCTCCACGAACGGCCGCTTCTCCGACAGCGCCAGCGACTTCCACGACTTCCCTGGAGACAACACGAACACTGAACATTTACAGGAGTGCTCACTTTACAGTACGCTTCGTTAGTAAACATTAAGAACATGAACTAACCGTGAGCATTTGTTACCGTATTTATTAATCTTTGTTAATGTTAGTTATTAAAATAGTATACAGCTGTTCATGCTAGTTCACAGTGACTAATGTTAAGAAATACAACCTTTGATTTCAATAATGCATTATTAAATGTTGAAATGAACATTAACGAAGATTAGTAAATGCTGTAGAAATGTCGTTCATACTTAGTTCATAACTAATTAACCTTATTGTGAAGTGTTATCAATTAGCGCTTGATTCTCTACACTGTAAAAAGTGATTAGTTGACAACTTAAAAAAGTGAGGAAACTCGTTGCTTTGAAATTAAGTAAATAAACTTCATGCGTAATTGAAAAAAAATAAGTTATGTGGAATTGTCAACTTTACAACTTAATTATGTCAAGTTGACAAGTCCACATAACTTAATTTTTTCAATTACGTATGGTTTATTTTTTAAGTGAAGTTGATCACGGTTAACACACAGCACATCTCCAATGTAAGAAAAAAAAAAAAACGTAAAATAAAGTAGCTGCCGTAAAGTTTTACATGGTTGTTTAACTTTTAATTACATTAAACTGACTTTTAAAAAATGAGTTGAATCTTGTTTTAAAAAGTTGAAACCTGTTTTGGTGAGTTAATGTAGAAACATATGATGTCTCAACTTATTGATCATATCATTTTTTACAGTGGAAAAAAATGAAGCAAAATATGCATGAACAAAGAGCAGGATAGAAACACAACTCCAGAATGTGTGTCTCTTACACTTACTCATAAATAATTTGATTCTATGCAAATCACATTATTATAAAACAACAGTAACTAAATCATATAATAAAAATAAAAATATTTTATTTTTTGCTGTCAACATTACTTGTATTACATGTATTACACTTTACACGTTCATGTCGAATGATATTAATATACGACATTAGATTCTGCTTTTATTTCACCTTGGGTCAATGATAAACTTACACGTGTTTGGCAAAGTCTGCGTTCTTGTTTTATTCCGATGCTGCATATTACTATATTTACAACCGTATTTATATGCAATTTGACTGTTAACAATCCAGCCTGGAAGTAATAATGAAGAATAATGTGATTTGAATAATTATGTTTTTGAACAAAAGCTGCTGCGTAATGAACCTCTCTCTGCTTCAGTAAACAGTAATAGACACACATCTCCACTCACCGAGTATTTTGCTGAGCTCTGCGTTGTGCAGGTCCGGGTTTTTCAGCGCGAGCCTCTTTCTCTCATCTTTCGCCCAAACCATGAACGCGTTCATCGGCCTGCGGACGCGCGCCTCGCTCTTTCCGCGCGCGGGAGTCTCGCGCTTCGCTTTGGCGTCCGAGAGCGCGTGGAGCGCGTCTACCTCCGGCCACGCGCACTGTCGCGCGCCGGGCATCATGACTGAGCTCGTGCCTCGGCTCAGGCTCGGGTCCGGCTCGGGTCTGGCTCGGGTCAGGCTCGGGTCGTCACTGGCGTAACCCGCATCGGGACTGCTCATCTCCTGCACGCGGCGCGCGCGTTCCTTTGGTGATCACCGGTGATAAACTAGACTGTGTGTGGCCTGGAGACTTCCTCCACTGGATGCCCTCTGCTAGTCTCCCAGTGCTGAGCGCATACAGTATCCAGTAAGGTCAGAAGTGCACACAGATTTAAACTCCACCAATAGTGACCCGTGTGGGCGGACCGAACCGAGCCGGGGAAGGTGTGAGAGACTCCGCGTTCACAAACACTGCGCGTTCACAGCGATCCTTCCCCCGGGACATTTCACTTAATTACATTCAACGAATATAAAGCATGTGAGTAATCACATCAGCTGACAGTTTTGTGCGGTGAAAAGTTCTCATGGTTCCCGTTTGCGCGTTTATTTATGACAAAAATGCATTGCATAGCTCTTGATTTAACTTTTACTCATGCATTAGGAACACTTATTTTTCTTTCTAGGAGGCATATGCTTAAAACGAATGTGTTTGTATGTGTTAAGACCCTTTTTATTTGTCATGAGGATAAAAAAGTTCGAGCGTAAAGCATGTGAATAGCCTAATCCAGCCCGATCTCATGACACTTCAGCATGCTCAAAACACATGTTATGTCAGGTGAAGTGCGAATCTATAGCGTGCATTTTATGTCTCGTGCCATTTATACGCCAAAAATAGTTTTGCCTGCATATGATACGCACTTTATGGCGTGTATACGCACAAGAACTATTTTTGGCGTATAAATGGCACGAGAAATAAAATGCACGCTATAGATTCGCGCTTCACCTGACATAGCAAATGTTTTGTGCTTGGTGAAAAGTTCTTACTGATTCTGTTTGCGAGTGTTTATTATGACACAAATGCACTGCATGAATAGCTTGTAATTTAACTTTTATTTTCTCTCTAGGAGGCATACTCTTAAAACGAATGTGCTTTTTATTTGTCATGATAAAAAGTGCAAGCATAAAGACTTTAAATACATCATAGCTATTCTAAATATCAGGCGTATTATTTAAAGAAGAGTATTATCTAAATTAAGAGTTTGGCCGCAAGCACACAAAATAAATCATATTCATCACACGTGAAATTGTAAAGCGATTTAACTTTTATTTCGCAAACGTGTAATCGTGTGTTGTCACGTGTTAAGAGTTTGCCTCGCGGATGCGATAAATGTTTGGTTTAGGATTAATATCCTGATTCCTGCCATAGATTTAACCTGGATTTGCAAACAGTAGTAGGAGGATCGTCACACACTGATAATGAAGAGAAAGGTGTTGCATTGTATTCAGTGAAGAAACTCTCGAGCGTTTGAGTGAATATTAAGTAGTTGTTATAATGCGATGTTCTGCATAACGTTGAACTGGCTTTACTTACAGTACAAAACTAGTGATATTTACAATCTTGAGTTTAAAACGAGACTGTACAGTGTTTTGTTTAATGATTTTAATGTTAAAAACAAACTATTTATTGTTGTTATAAATACTGTTGCCTCAGTGAAGGGTCGTGCGAGGCTTGTTGAGGATGGACTGTAAAATGTGCGTGCGAAGTTGCGAACGGTAAATGTTCACTGCAAAAACTAAAAATCTTGCCAAGTATATTTTTCTAATTTCTAGTCAAAATATCTCATCACACTTAATATAAGACAAAATCACCTAAATACCAAGATTTAAGTGAGATAAAGGAGCTTGTTTTTAGACAGTGCATCTTGAATATCTTGTTAAGTGAAACTGTCTTAAAAATATCTTGTTTTGAGTCATATCTCAGATGAAACAAGCTTTTTTGACATGTCATAAGGTTTTTAAGCTGCTGTGTTATTTGTAAAAGATGAATCGTCTTGTTTCAAGAAACAGACTTGACTTGAATTGAGACAACAAATCTGCTTTATTGAAAACTGCAGGTCAACATGCCCAACTCACAACAACTCACAATGACATATATTGACGGCAAAAAAACGTAATTTATTTACGTATAAACAACTTTACCGACGTACAAATTTGTATGTATTCCTATTTAACTTATGCATATTAAAATCGTGGTTTTGACTCTATTGCATTCAATTGTCTTATCAATTAAATTTTCAGTCGCATTTATTAATAGTTTAATGTTACACCCCATATGGAAAAGGTTTGCTAAAAACTCCTGTGATTCTTATATGTTCCAACAGAATATTGTAAGGGACATATATGCTGCAAAAACCACATATGTTTTAAACATTTAAACTACACACACAAGCACACATTTTAATTACAAAAATATTTTATTAGAATGTGTTCTACAATATACAGTTGCATATTTCACATATCAATAGTTTTCATTTTAAATCCTGCATCACCAGATTTCATTTTCATTTGTGACAATTTCTCTAAACTTTATCACAGTACTACTAGGTATACAACAGTTCTATTCTTAACCTACAAACATAAAACTTTCCTAAATGTTGAAGTGATTCTTATGCGTATCACTCTAAAAAATAATTCAGTGGCTTAGTAAATATCACAGTAATAATTAACTTTATTACCTAAAATCTCTGAATATCACTTGATAGTTTGAGTTGAACATAGCCTACCGAAATAATTGACTAAAACTCCAACAATAAATTTTGTCTGAAATTTACAGTTATATTTAAGTTTGAAGTTTTTCACTAAAATAATTTAGTATTTGACTAACCAATTATTTATTTAAAATACACTGAGCTAAATTTGTGAAATTTCCATCACAATATTTGAGAATGGATAATTAAACTAATCTGTTTCAAGAACCACAAATATTACTTAAATAAAATCAATATTATTAATATTTAACAAGCATAAGAAATTGTATTTTACTGTCTATGATTACAACAACGCACCCCTCCCCCACCCTCTGACGTGACGACAACTCGACGGTTGAGTGAGCGCGCGCTGTTTGAACTCCAGTGCAGAACAGTTCTCCTCTCCTCAGCCTCGCAGAATTGGTGCATTTCCTCTGTGAAATTCAGGTGTGTATGTTTTATTTTATCCGTATAATCATTAATGTGCTTTAAATAATTTTATTTAATGTGAAGGAACATACAGAGACGCAATGTTACTCGCCTTAAACGAGTGTCGACTCGCGCCTGCCTTTTCGCGTGATTGTAAGGCCTCGCATATAAAACACACGACTATATTCTTAAAGATAATGAATTATAACTAATTTGGATGATAAAATGTCCTCAGAACTGTGCACTGTTTGTTTATTGGCAGGTTATGGAGTCAGTCGCGTCGCAGCATCTTTCGGCTGTGAGTGACGCAGGACGGCGGTGTAAAGTTAGAGGTTCCCCCGCAGAGGCGAGTCCATCTCCGGCACGCGAAACAGCGCTGATCCGGTGGATACTGGATAACAGACCGGTTGATTACACTTGAATTACTTTATTGTTTAGGCCTAAATGTTTAATTTTTACTTCGAAAATGTTTCTTACATGAGTTTAGATGTAGGCAATATTGCATACGTGTTAAAAATAGTATAAAATATATGCTGTTTTGCTGTAATGTTAGGCTACTAATCGACAATAAAGGCCAATGTCATGTAGTTATACCGGTGGTTGTATGGAATATTTTTTACAAAGGTTTAGAGGAAATAAAAAAGTTAATATTACTGCCATATAAACACAGTTTATATTACTCATAAATATTTGTTTTTAAATGTTTCCCCCTAATTATTTCTACTCAAGTTTATTTGTTAATGTACCAAATGCAGTTACTCGGATCTATTTAATTTGTTTTACTAACATTTACTCAGTTAATACAGTGTAAGTAATTGCTTTCACTGCTTAAAAATCTAATCAATATTCTAAGTTTAAAAATGTTTCACCAAAAAAATTGAGTAAATCATATTAAATGTTTTTAGAGTGCATCACCACCAGAGTTCATGTCACATACAAAAACATATTCCAGCCAATTTTAATCACTGTTCTAGAAACATATTTGACTCAGCTTTGTTCATTTGCAATAATATGTTATGATTTTGTTCACAAACAACAGGCCCAGACAGTTAACAATTAATACACAATCTTACAATATCATTTCTTTTCAACTGCTCTTTCAAATCCTGTAGTAAAATTAACAGTCTTCATAAAGATCAGTGATATTCTGACAGTAATCCTCTAACCGGCATCTGCACTGTACAATTTAAAGGGATACTCCACTTTAAAATGAAAATTTTCATCATATACTCCCCCTCATGTTGTTTTAATCCTTAATGAATTTCTTTCTTCTGCTGAACAGAAAGGAAGATATTTAGAAGAATATCAGTAACCAGACAGTTTCTGGTCTCATTGACTTACATAGTATAAAAGTCAATGAGACCAGAAACTGTCTGGTTACTGATATTCTTCTAAATATCTTCCTTTCTGTTCAGCAGAAGAAAGAAATTCATAAAGGATTAAAACAACATGAGGGTGAGTATATGATGAAAGAATTTTCTTTTTAAAGTGGAGTATCCCTTTAAGAATCTGCCAACTGCATATAAGTGAATCAGATGTTGGTCATCAAAACATGAAATCTGTACGAAACACATAAACAAATGACACAAAATGTGTATAAATTCTATATGACTTTAATTTGACTAGCATATAATTAAATATAAGAACTTTAAATTATTATATATGAATTTTATATATTTCGAGTAATACCATACACATTTGCATACTTTTGTCATGTAAAACTCATACAAGTCTTTTAACAGTATTCATATATAACGCAAAAATCCCCTACAAGTTGTATGTGTGTTATTTAGTATGAAATGGGCCATAATCGGTCTGATTTTGTATAGGACATGTATTGGCCTTATATGAAACACAGAAGGTAATTCTGGCCGATTTAAGTAAGGAAGATAATATATGGTTGCTGTATATGAACCATGCAGGTTTTTTTCATATGGGTTAAAAATACCTTCTTTAATTGTTTAACCATTTTGTAATATTTGGTTTATTTATTGTGAAACACAAAAGGCATTTTCTCCTATAGACCCATAATACACTAAAACATAAATTCACAAAAGACATCAATTTTATTAGCTTGGTGTAATCCAAATCTTTAGAATCCATGCGTTGTTTGCAAAAAACAGATCCAAATTCAGCCCTTCATCCAGTGATCTTCATAATTTCTCTCAGCAGAGACCGTAAACGCCAAATCCTGGC